ATCTCAAAGAGATCATACAAATGGGAAAAGGATCCACATGTACAAAAATATTTATAGCAGCTATTTTTGTACTGGCAAAGAATTGGAAATTGAGAGGATGCCCATCAATTGGGGAATGGCTTAACAAGTTGTGGTATATGAATGTAATAGAATACTATTGTGCTATAAGAAATGATGAGCAGGCAGACTTCAGAAAAACCTGGAAAGACTTGTATGGACTGATGCTGAATGAAGTGAGCAGAACCAGGAAAATGTTGTACACAGTAACAGCCACATTGTGCAATGACTAATGTTGGTAGATTTAGCCCTTGTCAGCAATGCAAGGATCTAAGACATCTCCAAAAGTCTCATGATGGAAAATGCTATCCACATCCAAAGAAAGAACTACGGAGTTTGAATGTAGATCAAAGCATACTATTTACTATTTTTTTTCTTCTGTTTTGTTTTTTTTCCTCTTTCTCATGGTTCCTCCTATTGGTTCTAATTCTTCCTTACAACATGACTAATGTGAAAATATGTTTAATAGGAATGTATATGTATAGCCCATATCAGATTACTTGCCATCTTGGGGAGGGAGGTGAGAAGGAAGGGAGAGAAAAAATTTAAAACTCAAAAACTTATGGAAGTGATTATTGATAAATCAAAATAAATTAATATAAAAAACAAAAAAATAGCCCCTTTATTATTTCTTACACTACAATAGTATTCCATCACATTTTTAAACAATAATATGTTCAGCTAATCAATGGGTGCTTTCTATGATTCCCATTTTTTTTTGCTACCTCAAAAAGCGCTATAAATATTTTTGTATATCCTTAGAATTTGTTTTGCTTAGGACTAATCCCTCTCTTACTCCATATTTTTTTCTAATTTCTCTTTCTCCCTTCCCTCCTTACCCTACTTCCCTGTTGAGTAAAATGCCTTTCTGCACTCAGCTGTGTGTTTATGTATTCTTCCATCCTTTGACCAGTTCAGATGAGAGTGAGGTTTAAGTATCAGACGTTACCCCTACTCCTTCCTTCCAGTTTGCATAGACTTCTACATGCACATTTTGATTATGTGAGGTAAATTTCCTTAACCTTCCTCTTCCTTCCCTTTAGATTCTTCTTTTAAGGTCATCAAGACATAGCAGAAGCATTGTCAGCCCTTCTGTTTTATTAGACTCTTTGACCCTTCATGGTGATACGATCCAGAGGGATCACATGTATTATCTTCCTACAATAGAATGTAAGCAATTTAGCCTTTTTAAGTCCTTTATTATTGCTCATTCATATTTACTTTTTATGTTTCTCTTAATTCCCATGTTTGAACTTCAAAGTTTCTCCCACAGTTCAGGTCTTTTCATCAGGAATGCGGGGAAGTCTTCTACTATACAAAAGATTCTTTTTTTCCTGTAGAATTATACTCAGTTTTGCTGAGTAAGCTATTCTAGGTCAAAGGCACACATCCTTGGCCTTTTAGAGCACTGTATTCTAAGTTCTCTGCTCATTTATGAAGATGCCTTCTTAATTGTTTGTGATTATGACTGTGATTCCTTTGCACTTTAATTCTTTCTTTCTGACTGCTTTCGGATTTTGGCTATAATGTTCCTGAGAGTTTTCATTTTGAGATTTCTTTTAGGAGGTAACCAACGGAGTCTTTCTATTTCTACTTTATCCTCTGGTTCCAAGACATCTTGGCAGTTTCATTTTCACAATTTTTAAAATTATGATGACTCAGCTCTTTTTTTGGGTGTGTTGTTCAGGTAGTCAAATGATTCTTAAATTTTTTTCTCCTTGGTCTGTTTTTTGAGGTCAGTTCTTTTTTCTATGAAATACCTCATATTTTCTTCTATTTATGATCCTGAATACATACATATGTACATATATACATATATATTTTCCCTGTAGATATATACATATGTGTATAAACACACACATATATTACACATACACTCACACACACACACACTTCTACTTCCAGTGCAGCTTACAGCTTGGATTCCACCAAAGCCAGGATGGGGTAGGTTGTTTGCTTTCTAGTAGATTTCTCTAAATTTAGAATTGTGTAATTAGTAGGTTGCAGCTGTGTGGGTACTAGGCCAGGAAACCCTGTAATCCACTGGCAAAGAGGGAGGAAGGAGAAAGGAGGGGGACTTCAGTGGGAGGAGTGTCAGGAAAAGAGGCAGGAGGGGAGGAGAATCTGAGATAGAAGGCTTATGCTCACTCTTTTAGAAGAATTTTATGTCCTCTGGAGTGGACTGTGCTGGGGTGGGTGGGACAAGTGTGTGGTGCTATTTTCTGAATCTCTGTGCTGCTTGGAGTCCACTCCTGGCATCTCCTATCTGCCATGGGGGGACCATGGGCACCCTAGCCTGTTACCACCACCAGCTCAATACTGCTGTGGGTAGCATTGTTGTGTCTAGGTGAGTCTGAGCTTAATGGTGTAGAAAATAGGGGTACAAAGATAAAGGGCCAATTCTTAGCTCAGGCATTTTTGGGGGCCTAACTTGGGAGGAAAGAATGAGTGGGGAAGATGGAAAGAAGGGTAGGAGAGTGGGAAGGGGCTAAACATAACCAGTTACTTAGAATCAGGACACAGGAGAGATGTTAAAGTTGCCAGTCAGTTCCATATCAACAATGCTGATTCTTACAGCAAACTTGTTTGGGTGATGTCTCCCAACCAGGCACCCTGATAATTTTTCTTTCTCCCTCCTATTGTGGCCTATTCTTTGAGACCCTGACCCTCTCTATGGTATAAATGGCTGGTAATAACTCAGTACTAGACAGACATCTCCAGGATGTTTCTATTTTAATAACTGCAGTGGAACCAAATTACTTTAGTCAAGAGGTGGTTGAGGATGTTTCTCTCTCTGCAGCTCAAATCATGAAATGTAGTTTGGTGTAGTTTGTTCCCTCCTTAAAGCTGCCTTTCCTTGTTAAGGAAAGGGAAATGTTTACCTGGAGAACAAGGGAATAGGCAGAACCCCAATTTCAGTAATTCAGGAGCAGCAGATTGTGAGGCTTGAATAATTAAGAGAATTGAGTTTATTTCCTTCAGATATGGAGACGCTGTCTGGAATGGAGGGTGGTGGTGAGGTAGGATGGGTATACAGGGTGTCCCCAAAAATGTTAGTGTAATTTTAAGCTCTAAGCTGTGGCCGTGGATCAAAGACTTAGAGTTGGAAGAAACATTCATGGTCGCTTGGATGCCTCCCCTTCATCCCTCATATTTTAGATGGAAAAAAAAAAACTATGGCAAAAGAAGTTAAATGATTTGCCCAAGGTCACAAAGGTAGCAGAGCCATCAATTGACCTCAGGTCCTCTAACTCCAAAGCCACACCATGCCTCTGATTTTGCTGCAAATTCCTCTTCTTTCCCCTTTTTGGGGGAGTTGTCTCTAGATCAAATTTTAAGTTTAGATGAGATATCCTGAGTGTAGATCTCCTACCCTATCAAGACCAAAATGCACTCTAGAGGCTCTAGGCCTGCCCACAGTGGGTCATGGCAGACACCCTTCTCCACTCCCTCAAATGTCATGCAGCTCATACCTGTGTCTGGATAGATTTCTGGGTGTTCCATAGCTCTATCAAGTTCAATCACCTTTTGGTTCCCCTCAAGAGCCTTGGGGACTCCATTACCCCTAGACATACTTCATTAATAGGACTGAAGCAGAGAAATCCCTAGACCTGATAATGAGCAGTGCTTGGTTGTGAAAATGAGGGAGAACGAGGGATAGAACAGAACTTTGGAACCCAACAGGACCCGAGATGCCATCTAGTCTGGTTGTCCTATTTTGTAGATGAGACTCAGGCCTAGGGAGGACTCAATGTCTAGCCCAAGGTTGCACAGTTAGTAAATGGCAGAGCCCGTGTTCCATAAACACTTGGTAAATGAAGAGACTTTCTTTCTTGAGATCACATGGCCCTGTCTCTTGACTTTCACAGCAGTTCCTCTGTCCAAGATACTTGGACATCTGCAGTTCTTCCCATTTTCAATCCCTTGCTGGGGAGATGGGTTTCTCATAGCATCCTGCTCTGTCTTTCTGCCTACATGGGGGGAAAGTTCTGATTTTCGTACACCTTCCCTCTGCACAGTCTCTGAATGTCTAAACATCCCTGGCCTTGTTCCCCTGATCAGGCAAGGATCCATTTCTGCCTTTGCATATATGATAAGAGCCAGCATTAAATGGCACTTTAAGGCTTCTAAAGGGCTTTACATGTACTATCTCATTTGATCTTCACAACAACCCTGTGATGTAGGTGCTGTTATTGTCCCCATCTTACAGAGGAGGAAACTGAGGCAGGCTGTGTTAAGAGACTTGCCCAGGATTACACACCTGGTTAAATAGTAACTACTCACAAATCCTAAACAGGACATACAGCCCCCATGGCCCTTCACAGTTCTTAAGAAGCATAACTTATGGAAATAGGTTTTGCCTGATTTCACATGTATAAGTGATACCAGATTTCTTGCCTTCTCAATGGGCAGCAGAGAGGTGGAAAGGAGGGAGAGAATTTGGAATTCTACCTTTAAAAAAAGAAGGAATGTTAAAGATAAATAAACAACAAATAAAAACATTACAAAGAAGAAAAAGCATAGCCAGATACAGCCAGTCCCCCAGAGACTCTCCTTTCTTTATCCTTCTCCCTGTTCATGAGCACTCTTAGATTAATCCTACTCTCAAAAAAGGACTTAATTCAATAAACTCATTCATGCTGAGATGGAAAGATGTTTGCATTTTAGAAGGGAACAAAATATTAAGCCCCAGGAAGGTCTCTAATGGTGGCATTTCAGATGTCACTGAGCAGGCAGTAGATTGTTTTCCTATTTGTTGAGGGGAGGGGACTTCCAGTGCCCCTGCAATCACTGATTCCGGGCAGCTGTGAGGAAGCCTGGGGAAACACTGCACAACAGGCTTCTCTGGGTCCCTAGCCTGGCTCTTGGGAGTTCCATGCTGTAGCTACCTGGCCCCTGGGTTCCCTGTCCTGGTCTAATCCCTGCTTTCTGGTCTCTTGCAGCGCCAGCCATCAGGTGTAATGGTAAGTTCTATATTCAGTTCTGGCCTCTCTATTTTTCTTAACCACCCCTTCTGACCCCTTTCTGAACATCCGTATCAGTGCAGTATAGGACGTATCAGTGCATCCAGAACAGCAGCTGCTATCCTGACTGGAGCCTTGAACCCACCTGATTAAGGGGAGAGTGAGACTTTAGGGCCAGTGAGGAAGCAGCTGTCACTGAGATAACTCTCTTCTCCCAGTACCTTCCACTCATGTTTTTCTACTGCTAGAGACTCAACCCTCTTCCTCAAGAGCCTGTTGTTTTCAGGTCGTGTTCAGTCATGTTTCACTCTCCTTCTCCAATATGTCCCCATTTTACAGATGGGAACCTGAGGCAAATAAGGGTTAAGTGACTCACTCAAGCTCACACAGCTAGCAAGTGTATGAGTCTGTGTTTGAACTCAGATCTTCCAGATTTCAGGCCCAGTGCTCTATCCAGTGTTCCACCTAGCTACTCAAGAAATTTGGTTTTCAGTTACCAAGTCACAGGAAGCATATACCCTCTACAAATGACTAGTCTGTTCAGGTGTGTCCCCATGTTTTAAGCAAGTTATTGTTCAGTCAGCTGACTCTTTGTGACCCCATTTGAGGGTTTCTTGGCAAAGATACTGGAGTGCTTTGCCATTTCCTTCTCCAGCTCATTTTATACATGAGGAAACTGAGGCAAACAGGGCTTGCCCAGGGTCACATTGCTAGTAAGTCCGTGAGGTCAGATTTGAACTCAGATCTCCCTGACTTCATATTTGGCACCCCATCCATTGCCCCACCTAGCTGCTCTTCTGGGTGTGAGCAGTTCTTCTGTGTATATCCCCATTTCTTCTGCACCCCTGGGCTTGTGTATTTCACTACCCGCTCCATGGAAACAAAGGCCTGCTATTTACCACCCATTTGCCCTCATTATTTAACTGCTCCAAGTCTCAGTTTTCTCATCTGTAAAATGAGGAAGTTGGATTCACTAGATAATTTCTATGGTCCCTTTCAGTTCTAAATCTTATGATTTAGGACCAAATGAGAGAATGTGTATAAAATGCTTAACACAGTACTTGGCACACAATAGGCACTTAATAAATATTTGTTTCCCATTCCCACTCCCCATGGCATGTCTGGGTTCTGTAAGTCTGTGGTTACTCTGAGGTTGTCAATATAGTCAATAGGTCATGGATCAGAGCAGGAGGGGTCATCTAATGCAACCTCCTCATTTTGCAGGTGAGAAACTGAATCCAAGAAAGGTTAACTGAATAGCCCAAGGTCATACAACTAGTAAGTGACTAAACTAGAATTTGAACCCAAGATCCTTCAATCCAAAGCCAGCATCCTTTCTCCTGCCCCAAGTGATCTCTAAATATCTGTGTATGTGCTGTGGGGTTCAAGTCAAATCAAGTCAACAAGTATTTATTAAGTGTCTGTGATGTCTCAGAAACCAATGATTGTTAGGGATACAAAGAAAGGCAAAAACAATGCCTTCTTTCAAGGAGCTCACAGTTTGTGGATGCTACATCAGGTTGCCTATACGTGTTATGCATTTTACATGTGTCTATGTTATCTATTATCCTTAGATCTTGGGTCTCTATATGAATGTCAGCTGAGTGGGTTGGAGGAGGAGGTATAGGAGGCAGAGATTCAGATCCTTTAATGAGGCTAGCAGGTAGTAGGGGCTGACCTTGGAATAGAGGCAAATGTGACCCCTCCCTCTTCCTGCAGGAAGAGTTTTTCCTCAGTAAATGGATCCTTCTCCTTCCTAGACTACAATCTGACCCCAGAGATTTTCTGGGTTTCCCCTAGATTTTGGAGATTGAAATTGCAGATCATTCATTATTATTTTCCCTGACATGGGTTCTCTTTGAGAAGAAGATGATGGTTCTTGGGATTTTGTGGTTGTTTGTTATGTTTGTTTGTTTGTTTGTTTTTTACCAATCAGATGGGAACTAAGGGATCCTTAGGGAGCTGTCCAGCCTTCTGGAAAAGGCCCTGTGGCCTCATGACTCAGTGTGGCATCCATATGTGAGAAGACTGCCACCAGCAGTTGACCAGCTCTGGCTTCTTGTCTACTCCACAGCCCTCTAAACATGCACTGTGTGGACTCCATTCTATTCTCTGTGCCTGTCACTGGTGTCCTCCCCTCAGATCTGGGATTTGATGCCTCCTTGGAGACTCCTTTTCTTTATTCTCCTCTCCTCTTTACCCACCAGGTCCCCCAAGGGCAGTACTGACCCTGGAACCCCCATGGTTCAATGTGCTCCAAGGGGACAAAGTGACTTTGAATTGTAAAGTGTTCCAGACCCCTGGACACCATTCCATCGAATGGCTCCACAATGGGTCAGCTCTCCCCATCCACCAGAACTCCTATACCATCCCAGCTGTCAACATAGAGAACAGTGGGGAATACCAGTGCTGGACAGAACACACTACTCTTAGCAACTCTGTGAAACTACAGGTGTCTAGTGGTAAGTGAAAGAGAAGGAGCCTGGGGTAAGGTGGAGTGGGAGGGGAAGAGTTGAAATTTGCTTACAGTACAGCCTGGAAAGGGACATAGCCTGTTTATTGGCGGAACTAACGTCAAGGAGGATGGGTGGGAGAGTTCCTGAGAAATCCACAGGTTATTTTAATTCTCCTTTTCACTACTGCCCTTACTGAGGTATGAGTTTAGCTTGTCTTGTTCTAAGTTTCTCTCACTGACTCTATTTTCACCTACTCCTTTCTGCCAGGAAATTTCCAGAACACACTTCTGAGTGGCCAGGAGACTAGGGACCTACATTTAATCACTCAATAAATATTTATTAAAGACCTGAGAATTAGTACCAGAAATACAAGTGCAGAGAATGAAACAATTCCTGGTCATAAAGAGTTTATATTATAATGGGGGAGATAAGAAGTACACGTAATGTATGTGTATATATGTATATACATACACTATTTATATTACATATACATGCAACACATACTATATACATAATAAATATACATATAACATATGTATAAAATTTTGTAAATACTAATATATACAAGGTTTTTTGGAAGGAAGGCTACTAAAAATTGAGATGACCAGGAAAGGTGTGAGCAGAAGGTATTGCCTGATCTGTGTCTTATAAGAAGAGAGGAATTTTATGAGGGAGAGGTAAGGTGCAGGTACATTCCAGGCGTAGGGGGTGGGAGTGGAGTGTAGAGGTGGACAGTATAAAAGCCTGGAATTGGGAGCTGAAGGTAGCATGAGAGGAACAGAGAGAAGGCCACTTTGGCTGGGTGGTCAAATCCAAGAGGAAAGTCATGTCCAGTGAGGCTGGCTAGGCTGCAAAGGCCTTTCACAGCTGACAGAGGAATTTGCATTTTTCCGAGAGGCAATGGGGAGCCACGGGAGTTGGTTGAGGAATAGAGACCCACGATCAGTTCACCATGCTATGCTGGCATCCCCTGCAGGCTGAGAATTATGGCTCCAGATTAAAAATGACCTCATATTCTCTAAAATGTTTTAGGCCCCTGCCTAGTTCTTTAATTCCCCCCAAATTGCCTCCCTGCTTTTCTTACCTGCACATTCTCGCCATTTCTTTCCCCATTTTTTCGTCTCTGATGTGTGGTGAACTCATTGGATTATATGTGGGCAGATGGAGTGTATGGGTATTCAAGAAGACCAATACCTCTGGTAAAAGGCTTTGCCAAGCTCTTTTCTGGGGTGCTCATCTACCTTTGTTGTCCGTCTGGCACTCAACTGCCCCCTTAGGTTCTTTTTTTTTTTTTTTACATAAAGTGCTTTTTTAATGAAAGAAAATTTAAAGAGATGTACAGTCAGGCTCAAGTTGTGCAGTTCACAAGCATGGAGGGGAGGAAAAAAAAAGTCATATTTAACCAAGGACTAAGTTGGACTTGCCACCAGGTGGATAATCTGGATGGTGCTGGTACTGACGCAACTGGGCTGGGAACAGGTACAGCAGGCACAGATTTCTCTTCATTCTGACCCAGGTCAACTTAGAAGTCTGCTTCCACATTTTCATGAACATCACCTTCTCCCTTTGGACCTAAAATATCTCCAGAACCAGCTTCAGAAGAGTTTCTTCTTTGGAGTCCAGATGGTTCAGAATTATCCCTACTTGACTGAGCCCCTGCTGACTTGGCCCAAGATGGGGGTTGATTTTCTTCAGATGTTCCAAAAATATTAGATGCCATTTTGTTCTTCCTCACTGGTTGTCCTGTAGACTCATCAAAGTTCAAAGTAAAATTAGACCCACCACCTGGAGGACATAACACCTGGGAGCTATTCCTGTCATTGGGGTCAACACCCTTGAAGGTGGTGGTGGTCATGGCAAAGCCGGAGCCGGACCGTGGTGGGGGTGGACGGACAGGTGAATGGACGGAGAGCAGTGAGGCTCTCAGACAAGGTCCAACTGAACACCCCCCCCCCCATTTAGGTTCTAAGAAGCTGTAACTTGGTGGTGGTCACCCATTTTGGCAGATGGGCTAACAAGGTTGAGGGTAACCAACCAGGCACAAATTCATTGACAAGGTAGTGGAATTTCTACCCCAAGCATGTGAAGCCTCCTGTCAGTGGAATGGGTGAATAACAACATCTTGCTCCAATGGACAAGAAGGTGGCTGAAACAAGCATTGTAGAGTGCTTAGAGCTTGGTCAGAGATCAAAGATGCCAGGGTCATCCATTTCATCCTGGGCCACTGCCAGTCATCCTAACTTTTATCTTGCCCCTGGACTTTGATGACTCTGAAACAGAGTGAATCTGCTGACTTTGTGCAACTCTACCTCTCTTAAATCCAATTCAGCCATGAGTCAAGACATCACCCTATGATGTCATTGATCCTCTTTGAAAACAAAGAAGGAACAACAACAATAATATGTAGGCACATTCTAGCAAGTGGCATTCTGCATGTCCTCAGGCCAGGTTCAGTGATTGGAATCACTATTCAGAGTCTGGATCTGTTTTTCTTTGTTTTTATGGATGGAAGAAAGTCTTAGATGGCCCAAGGCTCTAGGACAAGCTGAAATGTCCTGAGCCAATGACCTTTGTCTTTGCCTTTCAGATTGGCTGCTACTCCAAGTGGAGAGATTAGAATTCATGGAAGGTGACACTATGATCCTGAGGTGCCACAGTTGGAGGAGCAAACGACTGCACAAAGTCACATACTACCACAATGGCAAAGACTTAAAGTTTAACCATCAGACTTTCAACTACACTGTCTCTCAAGTGAGCCATACTCACAGTGGATCCTACTATTGTCAAGGGAACATGGGGCATTCTACTCATCTATCCCCAACTGTGGTTATCACTGTCCGAGGTAAGGAGACCTGCCCAAGACATTTAAGGGGAAGAGATAGACACCTAGGACCAAGATTGTGTGGTTCTTATGGCGTGGACAATGAAATGCTAGAAAGAGATGATAGGAATAATTGACATTTAGGGAGCATTTTTAGGTTTATGAAGCATTTTTTCATACATGTTTCATTTGATCTCCACAAAAAGCCCCACAGGCATTATTGTTACTGTTATTATTGTTTTAGAAGCAACAAATTGAGGCTCAGAGAGATATGACATCTGCATGATAACACAGCATCAGGACCTGAATGTGTCTTCCTCATTCCAAGCCCAACACTCCATACACTATGCCATACCACCTATCTCAGTAATTCCAGTTGAGGCAATGAGCCATGGAGAGTCATGGCAGTGCCACTCTGAGGTGATCAGGTCAGATGAGTGGGGGTAGCCACAGGTCCAACTTCTCTATGTTCACCTCCTTTGGAGACCACAGCTCCCAAGTGATAGGCTTTAAGAAGATAGCTGTTCAATGCTTCTTAAAGAACTTACCCTAGAATATCAAAGGAACCCCCTAAGTAGGGGGAGAAGATTATCCAGATACATAGCTTATAAAGTACTCCTAGAATCCCACATCCTATATGTGATCCTGTGAGGCTAGAAGTCTTCCCAGGTGAGTGCAGGGCCCTGCTGTTAACCAGCCCATTCACTGTCAAGCTTTAACCCTGAATTACTCTCACCACACCTGGACTCCACTCCTACTTACATGCTGATGAAAAGAGTTGAAAAAAATTCCACAAATAAACTTTCCTGATTTCCCCATCCTCACCTTAGATATTAGTGTTCTCATCTGAATAAAAATAATTTACTTTCTATATAATTATAATATAATATGATAATAATGATATATTATAATAAGTAAAACAATAATTTTATTTCTATATAATATGTATATGAGCACCCCATCCCCCAACCTTAGTCACAAGAAAAATTAAGTTGTGCAGGTTTCCTACTTAGCCTCAAAATAGTCATATGTAAACAAGGTGTTGGAAAACAACACGCTGTGGCCATTTTTGTTTTCAGTATGTTTCTTTGAGTCTGATTTCCCTCAGATCTTCTCAGAACTATCCTTGTTTCTCTGCCTTTCCACCAATAAAATTGTCCAAATCCAAAATGGGTAGCGTACCTTGCATATGCTTATTTACATGTGCAAAATTTCTCTTCTATAGTCAGTAAACCCTTTAAAGGTGAGTCTTTCATTTTTATCTGTGCGTCCCCAGTGCCTAATACAGTGCCTGACCCTTTGCAGGCATTCAATAAAGGCCTGCCAATTGATGGAATAAATCAATCTGCCTTGTTGACTTAAAAAAAATTGCAGATCCAGGTTATCAGACAGGACATACCTGAGCTTCCCTCCTATCTCCCTCATCATTCAAACCATCCTTCTCATCTGACTCACAGAAAATCATCTAACACTTCCTTTCCAAAATTAACCCCATCACCTGTACTTTGAATCACTTCCCCTTGAGATACTGTTCACTCATCTTTTCTCTTCTATCTTTAATATCTCTTTCAATCACACCTTTCTCCCCAGCCTAGAAACAAGCTACTCCTGCCTGCCTTAAAATATTGTTCCCTAGAGTGTGCTACTCACTTAAGTTAAAATTCTATCACTTTCCTTTCACCACCAAACTTCTCAGAAAAGTGATCTATACTCCCTGTATCTTTTTTTCCTCCTGGTACATAGCAAATTCATACCTCAATCCTTTCCAATCTGACTTCTGCCCATAATAATCCAATGAAATTGATTTCTTAAAGTTCTTCAGTAAGTCTCATGAATTAAGTCCAGTCACCTTTTCTGGGTCCTCTTCCTTCTTATTTTCTCTGCAATGTTTGGCAGTACTGCCCATCTTTAGTCTTGTTTGAAACTACTCTGATCTTTTGTTTCTGCCTCTTTCTTTTTGCCCTCTTCCTCTTTACAATCCCTAAATGTAAATGATTCCCTAGGATGTTTTTTCTTCTCTTCTTTCATTCTCAATGAATGGCAACTTATTAATTCTCAAGATTTCTATTAAATCTTTCTGTAGGTGACAATGCAGTTCAATGGAGAGAACACTGGAGGTGATCCCAAGACCAACTGCTCTGTGCCTTTGTTCCCATCACCTCATGTCTCTTACAGGAGCTTGACCCTTTGACCATCCCTTCTCTCTCCCTATTATTTTTAATATTTCCTTACCCATTAGCTCCCTCTCTACTGAAGTGTACTCAATATTAAAAAAAAATTCACTTAACTCTACCATACCTAGCAAGCTATTCTGCATCTCTCTTCTCTTTCACAGCCAAAATCTTAGAAAAAAAATATTCACCATCTCCCTTCACTTCTTTGCAGAGGTGGGGAGACCAATGGGTACGGAACATTGCATATAACGTGAGATATTTTTGATATATTGGTCACTTTTATTGAAAATTTTCACTTCTTTTTCTTTTTTTCAATGAAAAGTCTTTGTTATAAAGGATGCTTGGCAGATATGATGGAAGGGATATAGGCAGAAAACAAAGCAAAGTTAAAAATAAAAGAGAGTAATAAAATCTTTTTTTTTTTGTTTTTTAAAGACAAAGCTATCTACATTTGTCCACACTTTCTCATGTCACATTTGCTTCTCAAACATTTGCAGTTTCACTTCTGTCCCATCATTTGACTGAAACTGTTCTTTCCAAAGTTACAAATAATCTAACAGGGTACCATGCAATGAGCTAGAATGGTACCACGTGATGAATCCTGGCTTCAGAGTCAGAAAAGCTGAGCTCATCCTTCCGTGAAAATTGACAATCTCTATTGCCTTGGGCAAGTGAGTTAACCCTCTCTGGGTCTTCATTTTCTTCCTTTTTTTGCTTTAGCAATTTGGTTAAGTGACTTGCCCAGGGTCACAGTGCTAGTAAGTATCAAGTCTCTGAGCCTGGATTTGAACTTAGGTCCTCCTGACACCAAGGCCAGAGCTCTATCCACTCCACCACCTAGCTGCCCCTACATTTTCTCATTTGCAAAATAGGAGGATTGGATTAGATGGCTCCTTAGGTTCTTATTAGACCTATGATCTCTTCTTTGCTAAATCCAATGGCTTTTTCTAAGTCCTCATCCTTCTTGACCTTTCTGTAGCACTGCACATTATTTGGCTTTCAGGCTACTTTCTCCCCTCTGGGTTTTTGTAACACTTCCTTCTTGGTTATCTTCCTCCTTGCTAACTAATCTTTCTCACTATCGCTGATTTTTGGGTACATCTAAGGGCTCTGTTCTATGCCCTCTTCTCTTCCCTCTCAGCACTCTCTATCTCCATGATCTCATCAGCTCCAATGGGTTCATTCTATGCAGATGTCTCCTAAATCTACATATTGTACCCTCAACTCTCTGCTAAGGTCTAGGCTTCACATCTCCAGCTGCCTGTTAGACATTTCTACCTGGATGTATCATAAGCATATTCATTTTGCCCCCTAAACTCATCCCTCCTCCTAATTTCCCTACTTCTCTCAAGGGCCTTACTTGGATTTGCAATGTAGAAGTCATCCTGGACTTTTCACTCTCCTCTCTCACCTCCTAAATCCAACCAGTTGTCTAGTCTTACTGATTCTAACTCCACATTTGTCCCTTCTCCTCTCACATGACTGTACCATCCTAGTCCAGGGGCTCCTAACTCCTTGCCTATTATATTATTGCAATAGCCTCCTAATTGGTATCCAAACCTCTACTTTCTCCTCTCTCCAATTCACCTTCTACATAGAGGCCACACTGATGTTCCTAAAAACACAGGTCTGACCATGTCAGTTCACAGCTCAAGGAGCTTCAGTGGTTCCCTGATAACCTATAAAAATAAGGGTAAAATAGAAACTTTCCTGCTTGACATTTAAAGCCCTTGATATCTGACTTCAAACTATCTTTCTAGACTGATTTGATGTTACTCCTCCACATGGAATCTATATTCTACCAAAGTGGCTTATTTACCATTCTCTATACATGATAGCCAGCTCTCACCTCCATGTTTTTGGACCAGTTTCCCCCCATGCCTGACATATTCTTCCTCTTACCTTTGCCTCTTGGAATCTTCCCTCTCTTCAAGATTGGCCTCAAATGACACCTCCTATAAGAGGACTTTTCTGATTGCCCTAATTGTTGCTGCTCCCCAATTACTTTGCCCTAATTGTTGCTGCACCCCAATTCCTTTGTATATGTTTTGTATTTTCTTATCTATAAGATAACTGGGGTTGTTTTCCCCCAGTAGAATGTAAGCTCCTCAAGGGCAGGTTTTGTTTCATTTATGCATTTGTATCCCCAGTGCCTGACGCAGGGTAAGTGCTTAATTAATGCCTGTTAAATTGAATTTTATGATTTAATTTGATACCAAAGATCCTGGGTTTTGTTCCCCAGAATGTGCAGATGGATTTTATGTTTTGTTTGCATGAATTCATTTCTTTCTTTTATTTTTAAAATTCTGAACTTAATGCTCCCAAAATAGTCATTTTCATATACAAAATAGAACATAAAAAAGATTCAATGACAAAGTGTATATCTATGTTATGTAGAATTTGCTTTTTAGAGAAAAGTATGTAAGAAATTCAATGAGTTATTTTAAAAGCTATCCTATTTCTTTGTCTCCTTCTGAACTTTATTCTGTTCTCTTCTGTGCGCTAAAAATGATCCAATAACCATTTTCCTTTCTTTTCTTCCTTTTTTTGGCAACACTACTGATATATCTCTTTTCTCCTCAAATCCCACCATGAAAAAAAGAAAAAAGAAAAACACAATCTTTGTAAGAAAGATATGTAGTCAAGCAAAACAAATCCACACATTTGCCATGTTTTAAAATGCATGTTTCATTCTGTACTTTGAATCCATCTCACCTCTGTCAGGAGGTAGAGAGCATCATGAATGTATATCTATTTCTATATTTTTTTATATCCTATGACTTTTTCACATAGGTGTCTATGCTATGACCCTATGAAATTGAGAGATCTCCAGCGGCAACAAGGTTGTTTTGATAGCTTCCTATAGGACCTAGTCAATGCTATTGACTGAGGGCACCTCACCACCTGATATTTTTCTTTGTCCTGGGAGCTTACCATCTCTCCCCATCCCAGTCTACAGTGACTTCAGACTCTATTTTAAGTTGAGACCTCCTGGATTCTTGGTCTTTTGTTTATCTTTTCAGACTGGCTGCTATTCCAGTCCTTCAAATTAGTTTAAATGGAAGGGGAGCCCATGGTGTTGAGGTGCCATGGCTGGGAAAAACAAAGGAATCTCTAAAGTCACATTCTATCAAAATGGAAAGGAAGGAAGTTTTTTCAACATGATTCCAACTTTTCCATCAATCAAGTGAACTATAATGACTGTACATGAACTACAATGAATTCTGTTCAGCGACCATACAAAATAAGAAGGAAAAGTCAAAAGTGGTGAAAATTACTGTCCAATATGAGATATACCCAACCAAGCAAGAGTGAAGGATGTTGGACTTTGAGTGAAGGGGACTTTGGAGGATGGATATGGAGAGGGCTAATGATAGTTTTAGGGTATTAAATCACTGTGAACTGCTTTCCTTGCTACCAGCACAAAGGCTGAAAGTATCTATCTAGCCTGGCTATCTATTTTATTTGTACTGAAGTTCAACAAAGGAGTTCTCAGGAGGTGGGGCATCATCATTCATTCAGATGTGACTGCAAAGGAACAGAAGTTATACCTCTCCCCTCACTCCCCAACTCTGGATTCCTCCATTGAAAAGAATAACTTCTCCTTCCCATGCAATCTACTCTGTCTTTTAGAATCCTGAGGTCCAATGTTCCCTGATTCAACCATGCTCCCAATCATTTGGATCAGCACAACAACTTTAGTATCAACTTACCCCCAATTCCCAAGGGTAAATGACCAGGTGTGTCTGGCACTTCTGATAAAATCCTGAATTCCTGAATCCCTAGAAAGACAAATCAGAGTTCATCTTTTGAGTCTGTAGGTCCAGGCATATATTCATTATATAAGGTAAAGAAGAAAATATGACTATATTTGCTATAAGATCAAGAAACTTGATTCAGAAATTATAGTAATAATAATAGTATAACAATAAATAATAATCAATAATAATAAAACTGATGTCAAATATTACAAAATTCAAGTGTAGCATGGGTATGGTGTAGATGTAGCACCTCATTCTTACTGTTTTCTTTCTCTCTCTCTCTCTCTCTCTCTCTCTCTCCCTCTGGGCTAGGAGAGACCCTCATATTACCTCTTGGATGAGACTCAGCATCAGGTCACCTTAGGGGTCCAAGCAGTCTTCCCTGTGCTCACAGTATCCATCCCAAACCCAAGACCCAAGGACAGATGATTTCCTTTTCTTTCTTTCTCCTTTAGTGCTTGATGGATATTTATTTGTGTACTTGATTTGTTGATTACCAGGATTCTAATGATTCTTCCTACTACCTCTTACTTTTGTACAAATGTAGATCCAAGACCATCTACTTCCTCATCTTCTAAAATCTGGTACTACATCCCTTTCTACCTTGTGATGGGACTTCTGTTTGCAGTGGACACTGGTCTGTACTTCACACTTAAGAGAGAGATCAATGATCCAAAGAAGAACACAAGGCATCCTCTAACCTTAGGAACCTGAGGATGATGACTCTTCAACCTGTAGAATGACTGAGGTCTTGGCATGGCAGCGACCCATTCATCTCTGTCTGCATATTCGTATCCTAGTCCTCATCCTTCTTAGTCCATTCCTGAGGGCAGCAGAGGGGGACTCCTGTCCAGCTTGGGATGAGGACTCTTCCTTATCCCTAGCCTCCAGTATCTCTTTGTCTTCAGAGGATAGAGGTGTCTGTGAGCTCTAGGCAACATAATCAGCCTCAATTAATGCCCTTGTCATGGCTGAGTTCCTAGGAACTCAGGGCTGCACAGTTACTGACCCTCCCCTAGATACAGAAGGGCTTTATAGATATATGAAATGATTTTAGCATTTTCATAAATAAATAAATTTCTAGTACGGTAACAATTGAACATTTTGTCTGTATCTGTCTGTTATGTGGGGAATTTGAAGATCATTTTACATATTTGTCTCAGAGAGTTGTTGATACTGGGAGTTTGAAAAGAAATGAAATATAGTAAAATAATTTTGAAAGTCAATGCAGAAAAGTTGAATAAGAGACTGGGCCAAGGGCTTGTGCATGTATTCTAAGACCCAGAGAAGAGGCTACCTCCTCCATCAGAAAAAGTGTATGCAGATACCTCCTCCCCAGCTGTGGAGAGGAGGGGGACTACAAGGCCAGAATATTGTATACATGGTGGACAAGGTTTCCTTAGAAGATGTTTTTATTTGATTGCTTTTCTTCATCCCAAGAGAGGCAAATGACTACCATGTTAAGACAAAATACAAAATATAATGTTTTTTTAAAAAGCCAAATCAAAGAGCTAGAAAATAAATTAAAGGGGAAAAATCATGTAACCAAGATAATTTTCAACTTAATTGTACTGCCTGGCCCTACTGGAGACTGCCATGTTCCTGACTTGAGTTCAACCCCAATACTATCTCCTTTCTTTTTTATTTTTTTATTTTATTTTATTTTTTTAATACCTTCTCCTTTCAAAGGAGACTCCCATCATCCCCTTTCAATCCATTCATTCAACAAATATTTATTCACATTCCCTGTGTGTCAAACAGTACAATAATCATTGCTGGAGAAACAAAAATGAGACATTATCTCTAACCCTATAGGTTAATGATTTCATAATTTCCATAAAGTTGTGAGGATTACAACTAGATTTAAGGATGTTAAGAAATATGGGTGATGAGGAAGCAGAGTCAGTAGATTCACCCTACTCCTTTGAGAAGTTCACCAGTAAATAGTAAAGAAAAAAAAATAGAATGGAATAAACATTTTTAAGTGCCTACTATGTACTAAGCACTGCTAAGTATTTTAAAAATATCTCATTTGGCTCAGATTCCTAAAATCTAGCCACTGCTCAGATTCTTAAGATCTGGCCTGCTTCTATTAGTGATACAAATGCTTAGATTCCTCAAGAGTATGGCCAATATGATAGATGTTCTAATAAACCTTGTCTTTGGCTGAAAGAAGCCTTGGGTCAAATTATTTCGGGCAGGACTCACGAGTTGTGATTTTGTGGTCCCAGCACACCTAAGCCCCTAAATCTCAACATTTTAGTGACCCATTTGGGGAAGCTGCCTAATCCCAAATTCTTCTCCAGCAAAGACTGGAAGGTATATAAGCCTCCCCCACTTCTTTCTTGCTCTGCAGTTGAGGTCACTCTCCAGGACAAGGAAGGCTTGAAGGTGCTTTTTGGGCAGACAGTTACCAGGCTGTTTTGCACTCGGCCTGATGCTCTCAGGTTCTTGATCCATTGGTTTGGTTTGAGGCCATGGACCTGGGTACACCTTCCACAGAATAGAGGACAAGGATGGACACCCTATCTGGAAGTGTATGCCTAATTCTGTCAATTCTCTCGGTGCTAGGGAATTGGGAAAACTGCAGGTGCTTTTTGGTTCCCTGAGGCTTAGTTACTTCCTTCCCTCTACACCCCAGAATCCTCCTTCATGGAGGTTACAGGGAAAAGTTAGAATAGCTAAAAACATCTTAGCAGATTCTAGAAGTTTTGTGATGGATCATTAAGGAGTTTTGAAACACCTCTTTACAACCCTGGTCACTTCCTTTTCCCACTCCCTTTCCTTGAGTCAAGAAGGTATCTGTTAATCCCTCTCATAAAAGAGAGTTTCACCCTCCCCCCACCCCCACCTTTGAATTCACTCTCCCACCCTGGCAAAAGAAAGGAGAGGAGAGAGGCAGCAGCTACAGCATGGGCCCCACTGGCAATGGCCTTGGGCCCTGGGGCAACTTTTGTCTGGGAAGCATCACCCAGGTCCAGCACATCCTACTCAAGGTAAAGAAGCTAGCCTCTGAACTTGGATGAGCAAGCTCTTTTTAAACTTGTAGTTTTAACTGTTAATGATGAGATGTTGATTCTCTTTGTAAAGTAATTTGGAAATGAATTTAACAAAATTAAAGTTACCTGATTGGTAATGGGTTTATTTCAAGTTTCAAATTGGTGAACTTTTTGTATCAATTATGTCAAGCAACTTTTCATAATTTGGTTACCACTAAAACAATTTGGCTTTTGTTGGCTGTTGTTTTAATGTGTAAACTTGCCAAAAAGTTTGTTTGGGTTTTGACTTGCTGAGAATCTGCAAGAATATAGAAATAATGTCTAACAATTGGCTTTTTATACCAGGAGAAATTTAAATTTGAGATGTAAATCCTGGAAAAAGTTTTTTCCTAAACTGTGATTAGTGGAACTTGTTTGAGGTAAAAGCTCATGGGACTGTAAATGATTTTATTTTGAGTTGTCTGATGGATCATAATCCATCAATAATCAATAACCCACCATCTCTGAGAGAAATGTCACAAGCTACTCAGAGAATGTGTTAGTGGTGGGAAGTCTGCATCGGGAAAAGCTGAGGGGACAATTTTAGTCTCTGTTTAAGATGGGATCCTCCTGGCTCAATTTCCTCATTGTGTTTCTTTGAAAAGGAATGTTACCCACCTGCTTATTTCTGAGTCTGTCTATGAGGTGGATTTGATACTGCATGGTTGGAAAACTGAATTATCTGAATTCAGGATGTTTTATCTTGAAATATTTGGGCCCTAAATCTTGTCCCTGCTTTATCCTTTTATAGCAAATTTCTATAGTCAGAGCAAATAGACAGTAAAAGATCAATGCAAGTGTGTGAGATCTAGCTGTTTTGACCTTAATGTGTAGTCATTCAATATTGCCAAACAACTGAAATGAAATTAGAAACATCTTCAGTTTGGTTTGGCAGGGAGAATTTCAGTGATAATTGAAGTGAAAGTCCATCTCTTGGCAAATTCATTTGTGTAACTATAGAACTCAGGGGTGGAAACTTCTATCTGCAAAAGTGTTACATAAACTTTTGGGATCAGATAATCCTGCCAGTCAAGTATAGATGATTTTAATGGGGCTCTTACACTTTTACTTCTCACTATATCTGGCTCTGCAGTCTTTTCTGTCAGATTTGTGTCTTCTAGACTACAGGCAATTCGCCTATAGTTGCTAGCAAACAGTGAGTACCAGCCAATGTCCCCCCATTGTCCCCTGGATGCTTGGTTCCAGTCAACCTCTTCTTTGGGACCTCCTCAAGGCAGGGACAGCTCTATGCCCCTTGCCAGCAGGAAGCTTCAAAAACCAAGTCCTTCACCCCTTACCCCAAAAGAATTTGGGTCCCATTTGTTTGAGGGGGGAATGATGGGGATGGGATCTGGACCCCAAAAAGGAAAAACCCTGGACTTTCCCACCTGGCCAAATCTCTGGTTTTTTCCTGAGGCTATAATCCCCTCAACTGGCCTTACATTGTGGCTATGCCCAATCTCCCAATTCTGTTTTGTTACTTCCCATTTGTTCATGGCCACTTCCCACCTTTAATCCTATCTAGACTCCATTCTCTTCTTGGCCATGTGGTCCAGGTCCCAGGCTTTCTGTTCACCCCAGCTTACTGGCCAATCCCATCCAGACCTTCCTTAGACCCCTCCTCCAGTCACCCCAAACTACTTGACCACTCCTAGATCCCTCCCACAGTCTTTCCATATATATGCTCTGTCTGCACTCCATTAAGGCGCTCAGATTTTTAAAATCTAGCAAATAGCTCACTAATGTTCTGACTCCTTAAGAGTCTGACCAATAGGATGGATGTTCTAATAAACCTTGTCTTTGGCTGAAAAAAAAATATCTCATTTGATTCTCACAACAATCCTGGAGAGGTAAGAATTATTATTATGCCAACTTCACAAATGAAGAAAAAGAGACAGACAAAGGTTCATTAATTTTCTTAAGGTCAAGTAAAGTCAAGCAAAAAGTTTTTGTTTTAAGATGAGTACCAAAATATTCATAAGGAGACTTTCTGTGAGAGTAAAGACCTGGAAACAAAGTAGAGGTCCATAATAAGGGAATGCTAAACTAAATGAATTTTATTTTGCCATAGAAATAATGAATATGATTAATTCAGATAAGCATTAAGAAGACATTTCAATATATGAACTGATGCAGAATGAAATAAGCAGAACTAAATATGAATGGCTGTGCATATTTGTATGCATAGACACATCTGCATATATGTACATGTATGTATATATATGCATATATATCCATATGAGCATGGATAGAGATGCTTTAACTGGTTTCAGTTTGTCTGCCACATGTTTAGAAGAAGTGAGTGAACAGCCAGAACCATCAGCCTTTTCAAAAGGCCCAAGTCAGCTCTCACTGTCTCTGCTACATTTGTATCTTGGAGGAGCAAGGTGACTCATTCATGACTCTCGTGAGACCAAGGGAAAAGGAGGAGAGCTTTCCATCACTCTGAGAGGTGTTTATGTCTTCTTTTCCATTCTAGGTTCAGAGGGAAAAGTCTCCAATCTGGGTTAAGAATTTGAGGTTCACCAATCCAGGCATCAGAATCCAGTCCAAGTGTTGCAGCCAGCACAGTGTCAATGACATGAGGAGCAAGGAGCAAGGAGCTTCTTTGGGAGAGACCTTCAGGACCCCAGCCCATAGGGAGGACTCAGCTGTCAGTGATTTTGGCCACCAAATAAAAGGGATGGGACCGATACTATGTAAGAACTGAGCTACTACCTCAGTGTGGAAAGCATTGCCTTAATTCTCCTGTCTTGTTGTACCATCTCTTTAATGCTTCCTTGTAGGTCTCTAGTGTGGAAGAAAAATTTAGCACACCACACTTTGTATACAGGTTGGTCAGAGACAATTTATTAAGTAGTTAAAAACTATTCCAAGTCTATGCATCTCTCCTCACAAGCAACTAGGTAGTGCCATAGTGCACAGAGTGCAAAGCCCAGAGTCAGGAAGACTTGATTTCATATTGAACCTGAGAAACTGAATAGTTGTATGTCCCTGGGAAAGTCACTTAGCCTTGGCCTCAGTTTCTTAAACTCTAAAATGGGAATCAAATAGCACCTATC